TTTGCTTGCATTTATACTAGGATAATGAAACTTTGTGTATACATTGACCATACTAAGACAATGTGCAGCTTACCAAATTCAGGGCTCTTGACCCCTTAATTACAAAGTCACTGCCTGTTGTTACAATCATGTGTCTAGAGCACAACTTAACATTGCTTGCATTTAAACAAGGATAATGAACATTGATGGATATATTGATCATGTTAAGGCAATGTACCATGTAATAAATTCAGGGCCCTTGGCCCATCAGTTACAGAGTTGTTGCCCTTGGTTAAAAGTTTTCTTGTTTGTAGCACGACTCTGCCCATAGTTAAGCATTTAAACTATGATATTGAATACAATAACAGGGTAGTGAGGCAAACTCAGGGCTGATACCTCTTCAGTACAGAGTTATTGCCCTTTGTTAAAATATTGTGTCATTTGCATAGTCTTGCTTGCAATGAAACTAAAACTATGAAACTTGGTTTATACATTGGTCATACTAAGGGAATGTGCAGTATACCAACTTCTAAGCCTGCAAACTCTTGATTACAGAATTATTGCCCTAAGGTAAAATTTTGTTTACAATAAAGTCATTTTCGGGAAGCGTTTCATCAGTTTCAGGTTTTAACTAGTCTTTTACACTTTGTAAACTTTATAGCAACGTTGTATAAGTAATTTTGTAAGTTTTGGAACATTTATTGCTTGATTTTGTGGATTTAAATCTTGTCATGAGATTTCTGATTTGTTTTCAACCAATCTCTCTAAACATACAGCCATGTTTTCTCTCTTGGCAATTAGCTTTGTGAACATTAGAAGGGTTATTGCTCTTTGTCTCCTATAGTTATTTCATCTGGTCTGGAGATCGTCTTCTCCCTCAAATTTCAACCGATGTCATTCACACTTGGTAGAATTTATTATAATAACATACATCATAGATTTGTGCTTTTACTTGAAATTTCTTGTTTCATTTCCATATTAAAAATGATTATTTTCTTTTTTAGCAAGGAACAGAGGTATTTTTTCCTATGTGTGGAGTGCTTGATCCATCAGTTTATCTGTTTATTTGAAGTTTTCTTTGTTTCATCAATCCTCTCAGCCTTTTATCCATAACTTAAACATGTCAGAATGTTTGAAGTGTTTAACTAATGCATCAGATGTCATGTAGATGATGTATTACCTGTCAACACGCTTGGTGTGTAAACATGGTCATCAGTATTGTATAACCAAATATCACACTTTCATACAACCATTACATCATAACCATTAATTAAACACTCGACAGGATAAAAATATCCTACAGCTGTTACACTGTGTAATGATTGATAAAATTGCTTGTTGCAAAAAGTTGGAACACACTTTTAGCAAATTCTGTTCTTTGTGTAGATAAAGATCGTTTGTGTTAGACTTCCTTTCTGTATCATCTATAATGTAATGGTGTAGCGTGATAATCATCCAGAAAATGGATTTACCTACAAGGTAACACATCACTAGGGAGAAAGGTGTTACAGGTAGCCTTAATATACATTAAATTTAATGAGATAGATTTGTAGGTAGAAAGGTGTTACAGGTATCCTTTGATATATATTAAATTTGTACAGTGTTGAAGGTATGGAAAGGTGTAATATGCTAGGTTTGGTGCAGTCTTGTAGGTAGAAACATGTAACAATACACTAGGTATGGTGCAGTCTTGTAGGTGGAAAGGTGTTACAATACACTAGGTTTGGTGTAATCTTGTAGGTGGAAACGTGTTACAATACACTAGGTTTGGTGCAGTCTTGTAGGTGGAAAGGTGTTACAATACACTAGGTTTGGTGCAGTCTTGTAGGTAGAAACGTGTTACAATACACTAGGTTTGGTGCAGTCTTGTAGGTGGAAACGTGTTCCAATACACTAGGTTTGGTGCAGTCTTGTAGGTGGAAACGTGTTACAATACACTAGGTTTGGTGTAATCTTGTAGGTAGAAACGTGTTACAATACACTAGGTTTGGTGCAGTCTTGTAGGTAGAAATGTGTTACAATACACTAGGTTTGGTGCAGTCTTGTAGGTGGAAACGTGTTACAATACACTAGGTTTGGTGCAGTCCTGTAGGTGGAAACGTGTTACAATACACTAGGTTTGGTGCAGTCTTGTAGGTGGAAAGGTGTTACAATACACTAGGTTTGGTGCAGTCTTGTAGGTGGAAAGGTGTTACAATACACTAGGTTTGGTGCAGTCTTGTAGGTGGAAAGGTGTTACAATACACTAGGTTTGGTGTAATCTTGTAGGTGGAAACGTGTTACAATACACTAGGTTTGGTGCAGTCTTGTAGGTAGAAACGTGTTACAATACACTAGGTTTGGTGCAGTCTTGTAGGTGGAAACGTGTTACAATACACTAGGTTTGGTGTAATCTTGTAGGTAGAAACGTGTTACAATACACTAGGTTTGGTGCAGTCTTGTAGGTAGAAATGTGTTACAATACACTAGGTTTGGTGCAGTCTTGTAGGTGGAAACGTGTTACAATACACTAGGTTTGGTGCAGTCCTGTAGGTGGAAACGTGTTACAATACACTAGGTTTGGTGCAGTCTTGTAGGTGGAAAGGTGTTACAATACACTAGGTTTGGTGTAATCTTGTAGGTGGAAACGTGTTACAATACACTAGGTTTGGTGCAGTCTTGTAGGTAGAAACGTGTTACAATACACTAGGTTTGGTGCAGTCTTGTAGGTAGAAATGTGTTACAATACACCAGGTTTGGTGCAGTCTTGTAGGTGGAAACGTGTTACAATACACTAGGTTTGGTGCAGTCTTGTAGGTGGAAACGTGTTACAATACACTAGGTTTGGTGCAGTCTTGTAGGTGGAAACGTGTTACAATACACTAGGTTTGGTGCAGTCTTGTAGGTGGAAACGTGTTACAATACACTAGGTTTGGTGTAATCTTGTAGGTGGAAACGTGTTACAATACACTAGGTTTGGTGCAGTCTTGTAGGTAGAAACGTGTTACAATACACTAGGTTTGGTGCAGTCTTGTAGGTGGAAACGTGTTACAATACACTAGGTTTGGTGCAGTCTTGTAGGTGGAAACGTGTTACAATACACTAGGTTTGGTGCAGTCTTGTAGGTGGAAACGTGTTACAATACACTAGGTTTGGTGCAGTCTTGTAGGTGGAAAGGTGTTACAATACACTAGGTTTGGTGAAGTCTTGTAGGTGGAAAGGTGTTACAATACACTAGGTTTGGTGCAGTCTTGTAGGTGGAAAGGTGTTACAATACACTAGGTTTGGTGCAGTCTTGTAGGTGGAAACGTGTTACAATACACTAGGTTTGGTGCAGTCTTGTAGGTGGAAACGTGTTACAGGTATGTTTAATACATGCTTGGTTTGATGCAGTGTCTAGAGCTTGTAGGTATAAGATAATGTCACTTGGTGCCTTTCTGGCAGACACAAATTCAGCGCCGTTGAAAGAATAAATTTTGTCAGTATTACTCATATCCATCTAACATTATAATGAGACATATTATGATATATAGTATTGTCTTTATCACTAGCTATCCTCTCACTAGTCTTTTTGAATTACCCCCCCCCCCCCTCATCATCCCACCCACCTCCCATCCCCCACCCCCTATAAAGTTAATCTTGTCTGGAGAATCTCTCTCATTCTTATTCTGCAAACTGGATCAGTTGTTAATATTAGCCCATTATCCCCTTGAAGGCATTAAATTTTATTGTAGTTTAAGAAGCTGATGCTTTTACTTTGATACTGTATTCATTTGTTTGAACACATCAAACATGAAGGTTAAATTAACATGCAACCTGACATAACTACAGGTATGTTGCATACTGTATGCTATAATGAAGTTTGATATGAATATCTGTATGATCGTGCTACAGTTAACAATAGATTTTTGAAAAATGCAGGCCTTTTGAGCCTCTTGTATTTTGCTTGAGGACCTGTTGTTGTCTTTTGCTGTACATAAGAATGTATGTATAATAATTATGTGTTGGAGGAAGAGATGAGAGTGGTATATGTATGTATAATAATTATGTGTTGGAGGAAGAGATGAGAGTGGTATATGTATGTATAATAATTATGTGTTGGAGGAAGAGATGAGAGTGGTGTAGATTATGACTGAAATGTCTTCTATCTTCTCTCTATCATTTTGGTTTAGGGATCTGAATGTGTAGGTGTACAATAGGATAACAATGCCAGTGGTTGATACACAGATGATGCTAGACAAGTCTTTTGTTTAGAATTGACTACCTTATATGCAGATAGCTTGTGATAATTGTGTTACTTCCTCATGGTATAGGCACATAATACTATTACAAACGACTGGGTATTACAGCCATTAGACTCATGATGTTTCCAGAAAAGTACCGAAATGAAATTGAATTATCTTTCCAGCCAGTATGAGATTGACTCTTTTAATATTAAAAGGACGGAGGCTGTATTATGCCTATTGGTAGAAAACAGATATTCCTGTCAATAATTTCACCTCACAACTTGTTCGTATAAATCAATAAAGCATACAATGTTTGATGGTAGGCCTCATGTGACCCTGTTATATTTTACAGGCCTTCAAACAGAGAAGCACCAAGTTACCAGCACCATTCAGCCTGCAGTTTCTAGTCGTCGCTGTCGTCTGCCAGCATCATTAGTGTACAGCCATTCATTCATGATCCGTCACTGAGGGAAATGCTTGGAAATATTGGATGTAAATGGGCAAGCAACCAAGCTAACATACGTCATTGAAACCAAGGGAATTTACCACTCTTCAACTATCTGGGCTATTGATATGCTTTAAATTTTGTAAATAGTTGCCATTCATCTGACGGAGATCGACATTGTGCTCCGAGGTTTGTCTCCCTTATAAGCTTCCTGAATGTGTTGCAATGCGGAGAGTCCCTGGCCTCTGGCATGATCTGACCGAGGGTTGGAGAAGTAGACGTGTTTACAACAAGTGTGTTGCACCCTTCCAACATGTCAGGATCACCATTAGCTAGATAGTGATGCAGACATCCTTATTAAGTTGATAGTGATGGCCACCGTCAGTCCACTGTGGCCTAGCAATGAGGCAGCCCCAACTCCAAACAGGAAGGATAATGATGTTTCATTGCTCACCCCTAACAGTGGAGGTCCTCATCAGTCACGCTCGTCCTCTATCAGGTAAGGACATACATTACTACACCCTCACGAGTCATACTTTACTTTCATTAGGTAGTTAAGAATATTCATAGAAAGATGGGGTATGTGTGTGTGTAGGGGTGGGATGGGGGATGAACCAAAGAGTAAACCATATGTCCATCAACATTATTAAGTCTGAGAAATGTGTGATTTTCTGAGATAAATGTGAACCTCGATTGATCAATATAAACCCGAACCTTGATTAATCCAAATAAAATTGGACCTTGATTGATTATTTTTAAAAGTACTGTCCATTCGTAATTCATTTCCTATGATCAACAGAGCATCAATTTCAGTTAAAAAAAAACTATCATTTATCATTATGTATAAAAATGAACTTTTATGTTCATTACATGGTATATCAAAGTTCCTAATTGTAGCACATAGCACTTTTTGTCTAATAGAGCTGTTATAAATTCACACCTCAATAATTACTGTATAAAGATTAGCAATTAAAACAACTATATTGTAGCGCAATGTTTTCCATATGAAAATCGCTGAAATAAGACTACTGTACATATTTACTATGTATACAGTCAGCTAAAGATTGATTAAATGGCTGGAGTATACAATTTGATATAATTCAGAGGAAACTTAACACTGGACAAATATTATTCTGTAATTTTCTATGCCACACTTAATATCTGCTCTTATGAATTGTTGGAGAAAGTCAAATGATGATATATTGAGCCCAATATTGGAAGATGAATATTCATGATGTTGTCACTGATTCATATTGATAAAATATATATATGCAAATCAAAGGATGCATGTGAATTAGGGAAAACTTCAAAAGTAAAGACCATCGTCAATAGGAACAGAAGTAACAGAGGTACCCAGGTTTGCTCCTGCCCAAGAACTGAGAAAGTAATAATGTGGAGAGAGGTATCCAGGTTTGTTCCGCTTGAGTTGAAATTCCTCTTGAGTCGAAATATTATTTCCCTTCTATATCTTTGTAATTCCAGTTTGGACGACTCATTGAGTCAAAATTTTGGTTGAGTCGAAGCAATTATTCTGTCCCTTCAGTTGAAAAGTAAGGGAAAAGTCATTCGTTGTCTTGAAATTAATTCTTGTCAAAACATTGGCACGTCTTCTGACAAAATCAGTCAATACATACACAGAGTAGAAAGTCACCTGTTTAATTACCCTATTAAAAGTTAGCTTCTTAATTAGTGTCACCATTCTGTAGAAAGTGACTTACCTGTAACATGTTTACACAAAACTTGAAAACATTTACCTTGGTTGCAAATGTATGAGTTATTTTATGTTTTGTTATTTGGATGAATAAACAATAAAAGGACAAAGTAGGATAAATTCATTTGTTTATTTACTGCCATTTCAAATATGAAATTAAACTATGCAGTTTGCATGCTATCGTAGCCTTTCTTCGTTCAACGGTAATCAACATCAGGAAACTGATATCGTCAACCTTATTTATTCACTTTATTTGAGTCGAAATACGGATAGGCTGACATATTTTCCATGGTCCCTTGAATTTCGGTATTACGAGTTTCGACTGTAGTAGTGTTGAGAGTGATATCCAGGTGTACTCCTGTCTTAGAGCTTGGGAAGTTGTAGTGTTGGGATTGGTATTTAGTTCTAAATTTCCATAATGAAACTTCAGTGATGTATTTGGGGCACAGTCATTTTATAAAGCAGTATATATGTATAAATATCATTTTAATGAAGACTGATCCAATCATATAATGTGAGATATCATTGCAGATGCTGATGTCATTTTCAGGTCATCAGTATTGAACACATACATAGTATCTTAATTTACATGTAAAATCAAAGTGTGAATAATAGATACTATCAGGATCTTTTTAGAATTATTTAATATGGTTCAATTAAATGACATTTGGTTTGCTGTGGTGTGGGATATGATAGAACAGGTGTTCCAGAGATTGGTTTTCTGTTAGGATATGGTAGAACAGGTGTCACAGAGATTTGGTTTGCTGTTGTGTGGGATATGGTAGAACAGGTGTCACAGAGATTTTGTTTGCTGTTGTGTGGGATATGGTAGAACAGGTGTCACAGAGATTTGTTTGGCTGTTGTGTGGGATATGGTAGAACAGGTGTCCCAGATATTGGTTTTCGGTTAGGTTACGGTAGAACAGGTGTCCCAGATATTTGGTTTGCTGTTAGGTTATGGTAGAACAGGTGTCAGAGAGATTTGGTTTGCTGTTAGGTTACGGTAGAACAGGTGTCCCAGATATTTGGTTTGCTGTTGTGTGGGATATGGTAGAACAGGTGTCACAGAGATTTGTTTGGCTGTTGTGTGGGATATGGTAGAACAGGTGTCCCAGATATTGGTTTTCTGTTAGGTTACGGTAGAACAGGTGTCCCAGATATTTGGTTTGCTGTTAGGTTATGGTAGAACAGGTGTCAGAGAGATTTGGTTTGCTGTTAGGTTACGGTAGAACAGGTGTCCCAGATATTTGGTTTGCTGTTAGGTTATGGTAGAACAGGTGTCCCAGAGATTTGGTTTGCTGTTGTTAGGTTATGGTAGAACAGGTGTCACAGAGATTTGGTTTGCTGTTAGGTTATGGTAGAACAGGTGTCCCAGAGATTTGGTTTGCTGTTGTTAGGTTATGGTAGAACAGGTGTCACAGAGATTTGGTTTGCTGTTGTGTGGGATATGGTAGAACAGGTGTCCCAGATATTGGTTTTCTGTTAGGTTACGGTAGAACAGGTGTCCCAGATATTTGGTTTGCTGTTAGGTTATGGTAGAACAGGTGTCACAGAGATTTGGTTTGCTGTTGTTAGGTTATGGTAGAACAGGTGTCCCAGATATTTGGTTTGCTGTTGTTAGGTTATGGTAGAACAGGTGTCACAGAGATTTGGTTTGCTGTTGTTAGATTATGGTAGAAAAGGTGTCCCAGAGATTTGGTTTTCTGTTAGGTTACGGTAGAACAGGTGTCCCAGATATTTGGTTTGCTGTTAGGTTATGGTAGAACAGGTGTCACAGAGATTTGGTTTGCTGTTGTTAGGTTGTGGTAGAACAGGTGTCCCAGAGATTTGGTTTGCTGTTAGGTTATGGTAGAACAGGTGTCACAGAGATTTGGTTTGCTGTTGTTAGGTTATGGTAGAACAGGTGTCCCAGAGATTTGGTTTGCTGTTGTTAGGTTGTGGTAGAACAGGTGTCACAGAGATTTGGTTTTCTGTTAGGTTACGGTAGAACAGGTGTCCCAGATATTTGGTTTGCTGTTAGGTTATGGTAGAACAGGTGTCACAGAGATTTGGTTTGCTGTTGTTAGGTTTTGGTAGAACAGGTGTCCCAGAGATTTGGTTTGCTGTTAGGTTATGGTAGAACAGGTGTCACAGAGATTTGGTTTGCTGTTGTTAGGTTATGGTAGAACAGGTGTCCCAGAGATTTGGTTTGCTGTTGTTAGGTTGTGGTAGAACAGGTGTCACAGAGATTTGGTTTGCTGTTAGGTTATGGTAGAACAGGTGTCACAGAGATTTGGTTTGCTGTTGTTAGGTTATGGTAGAACAGGTGTCACAGAGATTTGGTTTGCTGTTGTGTGGGATATGGTAGAACAGGTGTCCCAGAGATTTGGTTTTCTGTTAGGTTATGGTAGAACAGGTGTCACAGAGATTTGGTTTGCTGTTGTTAGGTTATGGTAGAACAGGTGTCCCAGAGATTTGGTTTGCTGTTGTTAGGTTGTGGTAGAACAGGTGTCCCAGAGATTTGGTTTGCTGTTGTTAGGTTATGGTAGAACAGGTATCCCAGAGATTTGGTTTGCTGTTGTTAGGTTGTGGTAAAACAGGTGTCCCAGAGATTTGGTTTTCTGTTAGGTTACGGTAGAACAGGTGTCCCAGAGATTTGGTTTGCTGTTGTTAGGTTATGGTAGAACAGGTGTCACAGAGATTTGGTTTGCTGTTGTGTGGGATATGGTAGAACAGGTGTCCCAGAGATTTGGTTTGCTGTTGTTAGATTATGGTAGAACAGGTGTCCCAGAGATTTGGTTTTCTGTTAGGTTATGGTAGAACAGGTGTCACAGAGATTTGGTTTGCTGTTGTTAGGTTATGGTAGAACAGGTGTCCCAGAGATTTGGTTTGCTGTTTGGTTACGGTAGAACAGGTGTCACAAAGATTTGGTTTGCTGTTAGGTTATGGTAGAACAGGTGTCACAGAGATTTGGTTTGCTGTTAGGTTATGGTAGAACAGGTGTCACAGAGATTTGGTTTGCTGTTGTTAGATTATGGTAGAACAGGTGTCCCAGAGATTTGGTTTGCTGTTAGGTTATGGTAGAACAGGTGTCACAGAGATTTGGTTTGCTGTTGTGTGGGATATGGTAGAACAGGTGTCCCAGAGATTGGTTTTCTGTTAGGTTATGGTAGAACAGGTGTCACAGAGATTTGGTTTGCTGTTAGGTTATGGTAGAACAGGTGTCCCAGAGATTTGGTTTTCTGTTAGGTTATGGTAGAACAGGTGTACCAGAGATTTGGTTTGCTGTTAGGTTATGGTAGAACAGGTGTCACAGAGATTTGGTTTGCTGTTGTTAGATTATGGTAGAACAGGTGTCCCAGAGATTTGGTTTGCTGTTAGGTTATGGTAGAACAGGTGTCACAGAGATTTGGTTTGCTGTTGTTAGGTTATGGTAGAACAGGTGTCCCAGAGATTGGTTTTCTGTTAGGTTATGGTAGAACAGGTGTCCCAGAGATTTGGTTTGCTGTTAGGTTATGGTAGAACAGGTGTCCCAGAGATTTGTTTGGCTGTTGTTAGGTTATGGTAGACCAGTTGTCCCAGAGATTTAATTGGCTGTTGTGTGGGTTATGGTAGAACAGGTGTCCCAGATGTTTGTTTTCTGTTAGATTATGGTAGAACAGGTGTTCCAGAGATTTGTTTTCTGTTAGGTTACGGTAGAACAGGTGTTCCAGAGATTTGGTTTGCTGTTGTTAGGTTATGGTAGAACAGGTGTCACAGAGATTTGGTTTGCTGTTGTGTGGGATATGGTAGAACAGGTGTCACAGAGA